CGAGCGTGAAAGTCGAATGAGCATGCATTACAAGCGTGTCCGGCATGAGTTGTGCCTGAACATCACCCAAACATCATCGGTTACTCGTAGTCCTTATCCCAACATGTGGTAGCTGTGTGTTCGAGGGCGTAGTTTCGGCGATGAAAGTGGACACTTAGCCAAGCTGCGCCGATTAGTCGCCCGTCTTACTCCCTTGCGTACCGGTACTCATTGCCATTAAATCGTTGGCGCTGTGCCCTGCCTTTTTGTCAGACATGAGGAAATTGATAAATCTTTGGAATTGCATTGTAAATTTGTGTATAAATCATGAAAAAGCTAATTAGTAAGAATTACACCCGGTTGACTTTCGATATGAAAACTTTCCAGAAAATTTTCAGCTTTACAAACGAATCAACAATGATGACAGCAACTAACTCCAAATTTACCTCTCAGAAGAGACTGAAGTTACGTCTTGCGTAGATAAAAACGAACAACAATTCGAATACAAACGAGCTTAGCTCGATAGATCAAAACATGAAAGAAATAAGAAAGGGTCCGCACGTTTTCAAATCGATGAACTTTATCAAAATTTTACCTTGCAATAACTATACCAAAAGTGAACTATGTAGACAGCTCCATAGTTATCGCACGGACACACACGATGCCAACACGGCACCAGCCAAGGAATGCACCCGCGATGTCATCCATGTTTTCAGCCTCGCCGGTTTGTCGGCCATCGACATGCGCCGCAATAAAATCGTCGCGGCGACACTTGTACAGATGACGCAATTACTTGAGCTGCTCTACGACAGCAGCATCGGGACATCTTTAGAAGCTTATAACAATGCAGAGGTCGGGCGGCAAATGGATAAAAAATACCGGGGCTACTTTAGGAATTTGTTTAAGATCGTTTCCATAGTTCGACATTCGGTAGATATTGTCAGAGACACTCAAGGTTTTGACTCTTGTATTGAACCTTCCCAATGTCATAATCAGCAGCAGTGACGTCAACTTTAGAGCCATACATAACGACACAAAATAACATAAAAAATGAAAAAAAAATTACACAAAAAATTTGCAACACAAAATAACAAATTATCAAAAAAACGAGGGTAGACTGAAAAAATAATTGATAAAATACCGTGCAAAAAATCATTAATTAGACACCGACATAAAAAAAACACGGACCGAGCAAAAAGAAATTAGAGGTAGAAAGAAAAATAGTAGAAGCAAAAAAATTTTCCAGAAGAAAAAATTCAACAGAATGAGCCACCTGAGAGGGCCGAAGCGGCAGTCGAATCATCTTCGTATTTCTTACGCCAGCATCAAGATTTCTAAGGAAATTTTATTCATGAGAGCGAGGCAGGCCGACGCTCGCAGCCCTGCGAATATTCGCTGCCAACTGGAATGCACGAACAGGAATGGGAATTCGTGACTGGGAATTGCACTGACACACACAGAAGGATGATAAGCGATTGGCAAAAACTGTAGACTATTTGATTTTGAAAATTCAAGTTGGGTGGGTACGCAAATCTTTAACAAAATTAACGACCGAATAAGAAGTGTTTACTGACAAATATATAACAAAGGCTGCAATGAGGCCTCAAAAACAGTGAGATCAAGAGGTCAGAAGAGTATATATTCAAACAATGGCAATAAGAACAAGAGAAAATCGAAAATTGACTATAATTTTCCATATAAATGAAATAAAATTACTAATTTCTACTAAAACAATAAACGAGGTTCAAAGTTAAGTATACCGAGTTTAGTTTACTACCTTAACTTACATTTTTAGCGTCTTACGTGAACGGGAAGAGATTCGCCAGGCATGTGAGGCTGCCAATCTCATTTTCCTCGATGAACCGAAGAGCTAAAATCGAAGTTGACAGAGAAACTGACACCAACACAATGCGCTCCCTACACGCAAGGAAACACAAACGGGCCTTTGGAGTAAAAAATACCACAGGCGTCTTCAAGTGAGCATATATAGCGCGGCTACCGTTCTTAACAAAACTTGGTTATCAAGCAAATGATTGCAATATATTATGTAACTAAATTCATCATTGTTGAGAGCTTCAATAATATCTCCAGGGAAAGTATTTATTTATACGAGAGAAATAAAAAAAATAGATATGTAAGAAAAATCTGTTCTCGTGGAAGAGAAGCACACCATAAAATGATTGCAAGAAAAGGAACCGCAACATACAATGACTGAACAGAAGAATACCACACAATAACTGAAGAGAAGCGCATCATTCAATAATTGGTGAACATAAAAACGCTTGACACATTTACAAGTAGATCAACGCCAGTGGAAATAAGTGCTGCACACGGTGGTAATGAAACGGCAACAGAAACAAATAGTAAAAAGAAACGTGACATTAGCAGCTCGAAATAATGAAAGCAATAAACAGGGCCCCTGACCAGTCTTGTAGTCGTGGCTGGAATCTGGCGTCCTGAGTGACATCAGGCGCCCCCTCCCCCCCACCCCGCTGACCGTCCTCCCTCTTAGTATTCTTGCGCTTGGAAAAAACGGAATGAAAATGCGTCCATGGAGGGGAACTGATCTAATGGGGCATCATAAATCAACACGTCTGACATGAATACAATAAGTTACAACAGAACCTTCGGTACATGACAGGGAAGTGTGCGAGATCAAGTCATATTGCTTTCCATGTTAGCCAAAATAAGACAGCCTAATAGTATACATTTTGGATACCGTCGTACATCGGTTGAAAGTAACCATCGGAACGTAAACAAATATCTTCAGACACTACAATAAAAATTACGTTGAAAATCGGAACAAATCTTTGTGCTTTTCTGGACACGCTATTCTAATTTTGAAACCCATGAATTTTAGTTTTTTAGTAGTTTTTTAACTCAGACAATGGTGTAGTCGAGTAATAATACTCGTATAATCTTCCAATATACAAGATACGTCAGCGCCGAACGAGGCCTTAACATTACTGGTGGTGTGGCTGTGTGTGGTGTGGTATTTAATGAGGCGGAGTTCTGTGTGGTGGATTTCTGTGTGTTGGAGTTCTGTGTGGTGGAGTTCTGTGTGGCGGAGTTCTGTATGGTGGAGTTCTGTATGGTGGAGTTCTGTGTGGTGGAGTTCTGTGTGGCGGAGTGGAGTTCTGTGTGGCAGAGTTCTGTGTGGTGGAGTTCTGTGTGGTGGAGTTCTGTGTGGCGGAGTTCTGTGTGGTGGAGTTCTGTGTGGTGCAGCTCTGTGAGGTTCTAAGAATAAAGATTATTCCGTAGAATGATTTGCAAGAGGATTCGAATGCAGGTTTGCTTGGTCACCAATTTTCCAGCCCAGATGAAGGCAAAATTCAAGGACCAGGAGCTAATACGGCTGTCTGCAGGTCAGACCAGAAATTAATTGGAATGTTAAATCTAAATCTTGATATTTGAAATTCAATGAAAATTTGTGAGTAGCATAGATTTTCAATACATACCGGGATAGATGGATGTTTTCTTTGTGATAAAAAGACTTTTGTGATAATAAAAATAATTTATTTAAAGAATTAAACTAAAGATTAATTTATTTAATGAATAAAATATTCTTTCTACTCGTTTCTACTACTTTCTAATTTCTGCTCATTTTAGTTTCAAAAAAATTATCAACGAGCTAATATATCTAAGAAAATGCATTTTATAATAAAGTTTAAATTATTCTGATGTTTTGTGTCTATTTTCATAATTGGCAAAATTAAACTTGATATACCAGGTCTCACCAATGGTCATTTCAGGATCAAGGACATCACAAAATACAGTAATGTTATAATAATTGTTTACAGAAATGGTGTATAAACACGGTTTAGTTATTGTAATCGTATCCATTTTCCTAAAAGTTTATTATGAAATAGACTTTATCCCTGATAGTTCCTCCGTCACATAGCAGGCCTGCATCGAATTCCTGCCTCAAACTTTTGTTCTGTAGGCTGAAGAAATTTCGCAAGGTCTCCTGGACACCAGGCAACAGCTGACCCAACTTGCGATGAAATAAAGCGCTCGTAAGTTACGTCGAGGCTGCATTAAATTACCCCAAAGTAATGTAACTTACCCTGAGCCAGCACTAAATTATCCAGGGATTACGTAACTTACCCTGAAGCCTCTTTAAATTACCCCCAAGTCAAGCTACTTGCAGGGCAGTTGCAGTCACCGACCACCGAGCTTTGCCTTGTGTCCGCGAACAATAAACTTGCCGCCTGATTAATTCCTGGGAAATATAAGGCTCCGTGATACTATACTTCGCTCTCACAACTTTATCATCGACAGCTCGTTTTTCGCTAGACACTGAAACTTCAGCCAGCGAAATCGTGTTCCGTTGTTGGCAATGACGAATGACGAGAGTTTTTCTGAGAATAGCCTAGGGGGTGTACGATCTTTACGAGGGTAGAATATGAACGATATTACACGTGTGCAAGAAAAAGATCTTTACTGGCGGTTGAGGTCGAGTGATCTTCACTGGCAGAGGAGGATGAATGATCTTTGATCGCATTGCGGTGACATGATTGCCCGAAGGTCAGAAAAATGTTCCCAACAATCATATCACGAGAAGTGCGAATAATTTCGCACTCCTATTGCATCAGAACGTAGGTTAAGTTCCTAAATTAAAATCTCTATTAAAAAAATTAGTTATTTGGTGTAGAAACTGCTAATCTATAATAACCTAAATACTTGTGGCTTGGAGTTCATCGTAGAATTGTTTATGAAATAAACATCGATGATAAGTGTTGATACAAATCATGCGAGGGATACAGGTTACGGTGACCTGCAACCAGAGGTGGGCAGTAGCGCGATACATGTATAGGCCGCTTCATTTTCAGTAGCGGTAGCGGCGCTACATTTAAGCAATAGTAGCGGTAGCGCCGGCTACATTCAGAGCATGTAGCGGAGCGGCCGCTACAGTTCAAAGTAGCGCTGCCCAGCTCTGCCTGCAACACAGCGCGGTCATGTCGCACCCTACGCGAGAGGCTGTAAGCATACAATGAGGTAAGGTAGAAAATAAACAATCATTGCTTTCAGAAAACAGTTTATTTTGAAGAACTAAGCAGCCAAACGCTAAGCGCCAACAGGTGCACACAGAGTCAATTCTTCTCAAAGAAACAAAGGTTACAAAGATTATGAAACATAAGACGATTTTATTCTATTTAAATTTAAATACGCTATCAGGATTACGGTATATTATTTACGTCCATGAACCCGGTTACTATTGAACGGAGTGCTCGCTGAAGCAGGTGTACGGCCACCAGATTCAAGTTTCGACAACTGGTCCGTAATATCGAATAAGCTATAAATCAATTTATAAAAAGAACGGAAAAAATGAGCTTAGCGTAGAAAAAATAATCGGCCCAAAGCAGTAGTTAAGTAGTTCAATCTATTCATTCTTTCACATGACATTGAAAAATCTGCTTTTTTTCACAACGAAATTGAAAAAAAAACTTCAGGGAGTATTTCGGCTCCGATTGTTCTGACATTTTGAAGTCTCCAACCTCGAATAAACAAACACGCTGTGGTGTTGGATCTCCATTTATGAAACTGACTAGCATAGAAAATTTGTGAATATAAGTTAAATTTAAATATATTCAATTACCAACTTATTCCCGACAACCAAGATGGTCAACACAAACCCAAATGGGTTCAATGATGAAAAATTCGGAAACGAATGGCGCCGATTTATTTTGAACTATAACGACAATAAGGAATATCACTACACGAAAGTTAAGATGAATAAATTCGTTAACGAATAAAATACGAAATAAATTCTACCGATAATGCAGGTAAGCCCATCAAGCATGGGGCAACACACGAGTTACTTTCGACTTCTTTTTCTACCGTCAGCTCGCTTTTTCCGCGCTCCAGTAATACTAATTACATCTTAATAAAGTTAATCCTGATATCACAAACCGTAATATATCAAGCGTTACATAATTAGCGCCAAACCAATTTCCGAGCCCGATAATTATGCAGAGCTCAAGAGAAAACAACAAATTCAAAAACAATACTACAGCTGATGCGCCAGATTTACGGAGTGAACATTAATTTATTAATTATAGGAATACAATTAGCTCGCAAAATCGTAGTAACCAACAAAAGCTTTTCAGTTTATATTTGGCAAGATTAGAGTTGAGTGGGAAATCTCTCGTGGAAACGTTGCAGCAGATCACGTCTTCGCGCGCCTCATAATAAGACTTCATTAATTGATTTATCTGCCGGGGCTCCAATAGGGTTAACACTAGGCAAGAAAAAGTCAAAGAAAAATCTCACAAGAGCATGGCCTTTGCCACAGCCTTGGACTTTTCGGCACCGACAATTTCCTCGGCGACCTTTAGGGCAAAGTCGAAAGCCGTGCCGGGGCCTTGCGACGTGATCAAGTTACCTGTAATGTATTTAAGTTTATCACACATATGACACGTATGTACGAATTTTACCTGAGTAATAGACAATTAGATTTCGTTTCACGTACAAACAATTGCTTTACAACCAGTTCGGACTAGATTTACAAGTAAAGTCATATAGAGTGAAATAACCGACCATATACTTTGAATCGACTCAAGAAATGTAAAAAACTTGTGATTTACATATACTGCGATTGAAATTGGCAGGCTATAGTGTTTGAGGAGCAGTAAATCGCAAACATTTTCAATTCTACAAGAAAAAATTAAACTATCCAAATCTCCAGGAAAAAACGAGAACGGTGGCCGATTTTCCGACCTATGAATAAACTAACGATAATTTAGGCAGCAACAGGGTTACGGATAGAAGTTCAAAAAGTATGAATTGTCCTTGTTGTGCGGGTTTAATTAAAGAAAAGTCGTTGAACATAGATGTTTTCCCCCTAATTTAAATTACATATTATTCGTCATGGGAGAATTGAGTACGGGAAGTGCGGCATCGATCAGGTGAGGATTATGGTGAAAGGATCCACCATATAATCCCATTATATTGCCATTAATAGTTATACTTTGCATGTAATTGACTCAAGACTGCACAAAAATTTCCAGTTTCTACCTAAATTAGCTAAATAGAACACGCTATAGCTTTCAATTTCAGCCAATGTAACACAAGTAGTGTTAAATAACTATATTTAAAATTATCTCTAGAAACTGAAACTAAGGACTCGATAACCTTAAAAATGCACTACTTCACAAAGTGACAATGCATTATATGAATCACATTATAAAGCAACAACTTCAATATTATTGCAAAACCTATAACAAGGCTTACCATCGACAACAACTTTCTCGCCGGCCACATAAGTGTACTTGTCGCCAAAGTGGGACTCCATGGACGGGTAGCAGGTAACCCGCTTACCTTCACCCACACCCGCAGCCGTCAGCACCAGGGCGGGGGCTGCAAGTTTGTAAAGTCCATGGAATGTATTAGTAACATCTTTGTATAAGGTGAAAAATCATGAGGGTTGCATATACATGGTTAAATAGAGTAGTAAGCAATTAGTATGCATAGTATACCAAATGTTGGCAGTAATTAATTTTCCAAAAAAATTATGTTGATGTGTACAGATTACATAGTAGGTATATGTGTCTGATATTTGAATTAATAATGTTAAATTTTATGTATATTGAAGCAGAAGAGCATATACATTTAACTCATATCCTGAAGCAACAAAATAGCACTGAGGTCGTAAGTAGCAAGGTGTCCAACACACCAGTTTATTTTGACTAACAACAGTAGTAATCATTCATAGAAGAAAATTGCACCAAACTATACGGTAGGTAGTCGTGGAGCAGACTAAATATGGACAGAAGACAATATAGTTAGCTAGTCTCACCAGCACAGATAGCAGCCACCTTCCTGCCAGAAGCATATTGCTCTGACAGCAATTTCTTCACTCCTGAGTCCTGGCAAAAGAAGGAAATCATGACATAAATTTGTGTGCGAGCAAAGGTTATACACATTCCTCAAGAATCACACAAAAATAGGTACCGTAAAATGGGGTAACTTAGACCACTTTTCGTTTTTTTTACAAAAACCCCCACAACTCAAAAACTATTTGACATAGAAAAATTTTGTCAATGTCACTTTTTTTGAAATTACATAAAGACTATGAGAGGCAGGAGCCAGCAATTTATGGTGAGTGAAGCTAGAGTATAGACCTGTATTTTGCATGTTTCAATTCAAGTTTAATTTAGCTAGTAAGAAAATGGCATCATTTATAAGAAAAAAAGTGGTCTAAGTTACCCCAGTTTACGGCATACATAAACAGAATTTGTAATAAAATTATTATTATATAGGTACCAGTCTATTATAAAATCTAGAATCTATTATTATCCTTGTACATAAGAAATTAACATGATTAAGAAAAAGTGTCTTCAATTTAACAACTAAAATTTTTTATTTTTCCAATGTTTTAGCCATTTATTATATTATAATAAGTGTACTATTATAGAATTAAAACAATAATTTTAAAATTCATATCAATGAAGATAGGAATAATAATTTCAATACATTTGAGAATTTCCAGTTAAAGAAAATTTAATGAAGGCATAAGTTTATACAGATGGAAAGATTCTAATGGGGAATAGTACTACCTAGTGTCTATTTTGCATGCAATGCTAATCTTTAGAATGGTACTAAAATTGGCAATACAAAATACCAAAGTATCAGCATTAACTATGGATATACCAACTATGGCATCATGTCTTTTGTAATTCAGTTTGTTTAGTTTTACATTCTACCATCAAACAATGTCAGAGCTAGGTACTTGTTACACAAATTACAAAATAAATATGAAAAAGAGGAATGAATATTTACTATTAAGAAATAGTACATATACAAGTCAGAATATTTTTAAACTTACTGCAGCCATAATGTTGGAGCCACCCATGCCCCCAGGGACCACCACGACATCATACGGCCCAAGGGACTCGGCCTCAGCAAATGACACGTCACCGGCCAACTTGACTCCCTTGCCACAGGTGGCAATGCCAGCAGTGCCACTCACCAGTCCCACTGTCACATGCAGCTGATGGCAAGGAAGACATAGATCAGTCTCTCAAGGCAGCAAGTTATTATTTTAGAACTAAAAACATTTTCCTACAGTACAATAGAAAATGCAATACAACAGAAGCTACTGGCAAGAACCTACAGCAAGTATCAATAAACAATGAACCAGTTTTTTTAATGTCTGGCTACACTACATATATTTATGAATATGAAGAATCAGTTATATACACATACATGAATGAATTTAGTAAATCATGTTAAAAAATGATTAATTCCAGGTAAAAAAAAAGATCAAATTAATTATGTAACTATACCTGCAAGTAACAGAATAGAGTAACAATTTTTACTCTCCACAGTGCAACAATATGAACAAATATGATTGCTGCAATTTAGTGAGCCTCTTGATTCCTGCCACACTGATTACTACCTATACATATACTGGTACCCACTATCTAATTCATACTACAACTGCCAAAGTAGGCTGCAAGCATTCAAATCTGTGACTTTGGGGCAACAAAATTTCAATAGATAGGATTTTTTCCACTATTGCCAGAAGATAAGACAAAATATGTAATTATGGTAACTACCCATGCCCATTGCCCTTCATACCAGTTGGCAGTTACCACAGCGAAGCTTTTCTACCCCTATATTGGCATAGTTGATGCCTCAGGGGTCTACTCTAATAAATTAAGTTAATTAATTATTTAATAATTGATAAAACTAAGCATGCTAATGAATGTGTTATTAATTAAAAATTTATAAAACATCAGGTAGAAACTTATTTCACAGGCAATTTTCATAAAATACAGGCAAAATATGCTATTTCTCCTCCTGGGCTGGCAAATGAATTTTGTGAGAGCCATAAATAAAAATTGGGTAAATCTGGCATTGAGCATGGACATTTTTTTCTCATTCCTTCCATGGGTGGCTGACTGGCTGCACAATGCTAGTTTGGCATTGTAAATTCCAAATTAGGAATATCAGGCAGAAGTTTTCTTAACTTGGGATTAAAAATTATCATTTCACAGGTTATTTTTTGAAAATTGCAGGTGAAAACAGGCTGTTTAGACTTTAGCCTATCTAATTTTATACTGAATAAATTCAAAAGAGGCATTGGAATTAGGAAATTGGCAGGTACAGCAATCCCTTGATTAACGCGGTTAATAAATCCCCGAGTTTTACCGTGTTAAGCAAAACCGCGCTAATCAAACTTAAGAATACAGCAATCCCTTGATTAACGCGGTTAATAAATCCCCGAGTTTTACCGTGTTAAGCAAAACCGCGCTAATCAAACTTAAGAATATATGGGAATAATTATAATGAATCCTCAAAAATAGCAAAGGAGAGGAAAATTATGTAGTTTGATAAAAGTGAGCAGTAGATATGGCAGTGATCTTGACCAGTTGAAGGCTAATGAGTAACTAGCCCTTTACGCGCTGAATTATGTTTTGAAAGTGAAAAAACAATCTGAATTACATTTCAGATCACGCGCAGTCTTTGTGTTGTACTGGCAGTACCTAGCGGCGCACCTACTCCATTGAACGTCGTTTGAACGAGTTCACAACATGTGACGCTACCGTCACACTTGCGGCTAGACTCCAAAAATGTAATTACTCTTGGTAGAAGCTTTTATTTTCTGTGTGACGAATTCGTCACACCAGGGCTTAAAGGGCTAGAGCACCAGCATGGCGGCAATGATGGCGCACTTACCGGCGAACGTTGCCGAACTCGATCATTCAAGTTATGAACAAGACAAGGCGCGGTTAAACCGACTCTAGTCAGTACGAGTGCCTACGGAACGGGACCTTAATTTAAAGAATTATTGGCTAAAATTCATAAAGTAACAACATTTGGCAAATTTTTCCAAAAGTCGTAACAAAATGAACAACATAGGATCTAATAAGCAAAAGTAACACTTTTGTTACGAACGTAACACCTCTGGCTAGAGGTGGGAAAATGATGCGTTGTGAAAAAAAAGTCGCGCTAATCAAAACTGGCACCGCGTAGATTAAGGGTAGGGGTATTATTGCAGATTAACTACATCCAAAAAAAAGGGTGTTTTTTTTTTGAATTATATGTTTTTTGGGGTGTAGGGTATTATTGCAGATTAACTACATCCAAAAAAAAGGGTGTTTTTTTTTTGAATTATATGTTTTTTGGGGTGTAGATTACGAATCTGAAATCCATTTTTGGCGGTCGGCATCGGAAAACCGATTTTTTTCGCGACTTACTAACATGGGGGTTACGTAACTTATAATTTCGCAGATTTTAGGCATTTTTAGCGCGATTTTTGGGTCGGAAAAAAATCGGTTTTCCGATGCCGACCGCCAAAAATGGATTTCAGATTCGTAATGTACACCCCAAAAAACATATAATTAAAAAAAAAACACCCTTTTTTGGATGTAGTTAATCTGCAATAATACCAGGGTAGGTCGCAAATTTTTTTTCCGCGGTATTCAAAACCGTGCTAATCAAGGGATTGCTGTATTGTATTTTAATATGGTTCTTGGGCATTTTTGTCTAATTCTTGGGTGACTTCTCCCAATTTTCCACTCAGGAGTCAGGACACACTCTATGAGACTATGCCTTAGCTGAGCACCTGCATGCATGTCCCTGCCTGACCCTCTGTGGAATATTGGGCAAAACTTTCCTAAGACTACCACTAAATTGTAAATATGATCATTTCTCAGGCAACTTTTGCAAATTGCAGCTGGAAATAAGGAGTATTTCTCAATTTAGCTGAACAAATTGGGAAAAGCCAAAAAGGCCATATTAAGAAAATATAAATGAAGGCCTTTGCACTTTGCAGTTAGGTAGATTCAATTTATCTGAGTACTGATTGTTAGAACTCAGTTGGTAGTTCACTAATAATTGGTTTTGGTATCAAATACTGGCAAGTGGCAACTCGCCAACATTTCACAGTTTCCAATTAAATTAGGTAAGTGTAATAATCTCAAGTTTTTCAGTTCAATCTGATAACTTGCTAGGTAGCCTACCTAACTAAAATTTGTAATTTTTTTAGAAAATGATGAAAAAAAAATTAAATGAACTTTTTGGTAAAACCTGTTTCCTGGCTGCAGTACCTACTGTACCTATAAGATTTCATTGGATTATTCATGTCAACAGTCAACATACCCCAGCTCGTCGAAGAACATCAATTGAGATGACAGCTTCCATTTCTTCAGAGCCATCAGCAATGAGCACTAAGGCAGTCTTTCCCTCAGCCATTTTATTACCACTCGAGACACTCAATACGAGCAAATCTGCAATAAATGTTAATAAAGTTTGATCTTGATCCTGCGATAGACGAGTAATGCTACACAGTATCCACCATAGTCAAATCTCATCTGCCATCTTCCGGGTCCGGAAATAGACCGGCCTGAAACTTTTGGCTACACAAATAACAGGATCTCCTTCAAAAATAGTTTGGCCTTGTATCACACAAAATCAGACTTTAATTGATATGATCTTTTTGTATTAAACTTGTAAGTCCTACTTAAGTTGAAGGTGACAACAAATGCATTCAAAATTAACGAGTCCGATAACGCGCAAGTGATGTCAATACTGAATAAATTTGTAGAAAAGAAACCAATTCGTACTCATTGAACTACGGTAGACGAATTTAAGGCAGCAACTAAAAAGGAGAGTGAAATCATTTATATGTACATATCTTTATTGTCTTAAAAGTTAGATAAATTTTGCCAGATAACCAATGACACTTACAGCACAAGATCAACGAGCGTATGTGCAGGAAATTCATACCAGCACACGCCAAAGTTCGAAGATGACTGTTCTGCTTACCGAACTGCTTGCTAGGCCATTTGTGCATTGAGCATGCCAGCTGCACTCATGATACCTACGTCATTCCGCAGATGTGTGTAGTGAAGTAAACCTAACAGTGGTCTTATTTGTGGTAGTATTTTCTGCTTTTTTTATTCCATCATGATGGAACAGAATTTTTTTTGGTAGCTTAGCTATTAAACGTGAAATGTTTATCATATCATCGTCAAACTAGCCTTAATCAATTTACTTTATTCGAATTGTAAATATTGCAAACGACGAGCTTCTAATATATATTAAACTTGATGAACCGTGATATTTCTACGAAAAAATAAAATCGGAATTGCAAATACCCTCGTCGCAATAACTAACTTCTCCCACCGAACGCTCTCGGACGAATACCAGTAAAGTTCCTCCTGACAATAATACTCAGTAATTGCAGCATTCTTGTGTCAATCCTATGGATAATGAGACCGATGTCATAGTGTTGTTACGTAAATAACTCACTCAATGCAATCGACTTGTGTAGTATTATAACGTTGGGTCATCGGCTAGGTAGGCAAGCAAGAGAAAGCTTTGATGGGATAGACTGATACCTCTGAAAGGCAACTAATATATAAAAGCCTCTAATATCAGGTTAGTATCATAGTGATGTGATTCTATTCTTTACTCGTATTTTCTCGTCTTCAAATCACAGGCATTGTGAAGAATACAATTCCGATTTTCAAAATTAAAACGCAAAAAATATTAAATTATGCGAATGTATGTATGTATGAATGTATTCCAAGTTTCTCGTCAAACCCAACTTTTGCTCAATACGTTTGAGACTCCGGGTGGTCCAGTAGTTGAGATCATAAATTGGAGCAGAGATCGAGTAGGGAGTTCGAAACCCGCAACTAGTGAAAATTAGAGTCAAAATCAGTAAGGTGATCAGGTCGCTGAGAATGGTAGACAAACAATTAAAATGAAATTACTACATTATTATATACATTTTAAAGTTATTTGCATTCCATTCAAAAATTTTTTATAATAATATAACAAAAATAATAATAATAATAAAAATAATTAAAGACGACTTCTACATTAGCAGCCACTTTCTTCGTCGTCTTTCGTATTAAATTCCCATGCTGCTGAAATAACTCGTTGCAGGATGTCATTAACTTGTGCTAGGTTCTTCATTTTTATTTAACATACCGCAAACGGTTTCTGCAAACAAATTAACACACAAATGAACAAGCGTAAATTATAATAGAATATTGATATAATCATGAATAACTCATCATTCCAACAGAAGTACTCTAGAATGAAAGTAGTAATAATATACGTAACAAGTATCCAAAAATAAATAGCTCCTTACCAAAACAGTGAGGGCACCGTGCTGTCGCACCAGTCGCAACCCGCTAACTGTGATACAAATTTCTATGGCTAGAACTTGCCTAATTCTACAAAGGAAAATTTTCAGTAATTTGTACTGAACATGACTCGACATAATCTGCGGCTGCAATTATTATTATTATTATGCGTTATTAATTATTATTATTATGGAACCAATTACTCCCTATTATGCCGCTCAAAGCAAATATTTCATACGCTCTCTACGTATAACATTCATCAATTTAAATTAGTACGCAGAAACGTGAAAGCGAACAAAGATTTATTGCAAGACAGCGTCTTACTGAAATTAGTGCACGAACGCCCGAGTTAAAGGACTAAATGAAAGACAATACTTCAAACTCCTCTTCAAAATTGGAGCATTTTAATCACGCTCAATTATTGGATAAATGAAAACAATTACTTGAGCCTTGAGTTTGGTTTTATCAGGAGTGGTGGTTATCAAAGCCCAGCGTGAGGGAGGGAGGCCTATACTGTATGTGCCGCCTAGGCCTGCTATCGAAAACCGATGCAGAGATGCGGCCTAGAGGAACTGCTTCCGTGCATTCATTTGCTGCTGGGAGATGGTCCCAAGCTGGTGCTTCTTATGGCAATGAGGCGCCTCTATGACGTCATTTATGGCTGGGAGATTCGTCCAAGCTGGGAGATTATTCCAAGCTGGTGCTTCTTATGACCATAAGGCGCCTCAATGCAGTCATTTATGGCTGGTGCTGCATAATGCTAGGAAACCAACAATCATTCATTCACTGCATTTAAATCATTCCCAGCAGCTCCAGAGTGCTCTGGAATATTCCTCATTCCCTAACCGGAGAATCATTTGTTTCCTAACCTCTTGAAAGCCACGAGCGCTCGTCCGGAACGCAGCCGCAGATTCGAATTTCGCGACAATAATTGGGCCCTGGAATTATAGACGAGATTCTCGTTTGATTTGGAACCGCATTGCTTTTCATGCGACTTTTCCTCCAATAACGTAAGCGTGTTGCTTGCAGGAAAATACTTCTCGTAAAGGTCTTTTGTTTAAGTTCCTTCTGCTGTAACTGAGATATAGAGGTAATATTTCCAACGATCAATGACGGTAATTAACTGACGGTTGAATATTGATATTAATTACCTGCAGAGCGCATATCCAACTGCCTTTACATGTGCGTATGAGGACTGATCGGCTGGTAGTCGGATAAATAAAAAGAATGCATAAATAAATACATTTAAACGTTTGATGTCAGGTGCCTCCTGGGCATCAGTTTTTTGCTCATATTGGACATGTTGCGATCATGCGTGCCGAGTTATTATTATTATTCGACGTGAAATTGAAACTGAGAGGCTAACATGTCTGGCAATTCTGCTAATGTACAAAATATAAAGTTAAGAATTTACTTCCGGAAGTTGACATGAAAGTTCAATTATTTTACGTTGCGTTGCATAATAAATTGAATAAATTTCGAGAGATCAGTAACGTTTGGCCATCAAAAGGAATTCTTCTCTCGTTTACGATGATATTCCCATCTGAATTGTATCCTATATAACTATAATATTTCAGGTCAAAGGGAATGGGAATTTATTTTTTTGTAGTAAAAAATATTCAGGGTGCTTGGACTCTTAATATACCAATTTCATATTAGGCATATCAGTCTCCCCTGCGCTAAACTCACCACACTTTTATATAGACGGGAAAATTCTAGTGAAAAAAACCTCTGTGTTCTGAGTGAGGAATATAGTGAGTTAAGAATTTTTAGATGTTGCAGGATACTTTCTATTCAATTGTGTTTAAGATGCCAACATTTGACGTCAGCGTTTATAGTATATTTCAGTTCAAGTAGAAATTCGACAGCGAAGAATTCAGCTTATCAAACTGCAGAACGTTTGGGCTTCAAACTTCATCGTCAGTTCGGAAATTGTAAAACAGACATGCAATCAGTTTGCACAATAAAATTCAGAAACGTTAAAACCTAAACTGAAGTATAAAAGAGTAAGTTAAAAATCGGCCAAACTTATCAATTAACAATTTGAAGTTGATATGAACTAAAGGTGGCATTCCAATACAATTTTTGAAATATACGGAGGTTCTAAAATTCGCAAATCGGAAAAACCAGGGATGCTTTTAGTTTCGTACTATTAAATGAGGGTATGATCGATGTCTGATCTTTTATGGGAAATTTATTATGAAGAACTTTTTATCTAATCGAATACATATATAAGCCTTATTATTTGAATAGATTGGGAATTCCGGGATTCATGGGGTCGGTGAAATAACAGGATTTCAAAATTTCAGGAATTTTCGAGCCTGAGCAACGTCGGGCTGACCAGCTAGTAACAAATAAATAAAACTGTAGAGAGAAAGAGACAGAGATAATAATATTAACTGAAAGTAGTAGTCATGAAAGTAGTCATGATTGAGACGAAAGGTCGTTAGATTAAAGATATAAATACCAAAAATCATGAGCATGAGGATATAAAGATATATAGAAGAGTGTGAGAACGACATCCGGGGAGCTGTGGGGGCGCCGCCCCAATAACGTCTGCTTGGCACGTCGTGTGTCTGCCGCGGATCCGACCTTTGCACGGAAAAATGCATTGGTGATATTCTCCAGATAGTGACTCACTTTCATACCCACAGAACGAGCAAAGTGTTGATGTAGCACTGATACGTTATGATGCCAGGCCGAACTGGCTCAGGATGGCATCACTGCATCGTTTTTTAGACGAGGTGTCGCTCATTTCTTTGAGTGTTTGATTTACCTCCGTTTACCCTCTACCTCTAGCACATATTTTAGTAAATTGTTCCCCTTTATTCTTATCGTTCGGCTTTATATAATTGCCAGTTCTAATTTATAGCAAATACGACTAGCTTCATTTGCTTCATTGATATTCTCCTTGAAACTATTTCTTAAATATCCAACTATTTGAGATTATTTTTTAAATCTTCACATAATTGACATTTTTTCCTTGATCATGTGCTGTATGAAACTAGTTCTTTGTAGTTGCCTACACGCAGCTATTTCCCTAATATTCTACTATAAAGAAATGTTTCCTTCCTATTTTTAGACACAAAATTATTTTCTTAATACTATTCCACACGAAATTATTTATTTCATATATTCGACATGATATTATTCCTTCGATATTCTACTACTTGTCTTGAAATATTTTATTGGCTGGAGATCATATTACACGTATTTCTTTTATTTATTATTGTAATGCACGAAACTATTTTTTATTTTTCTACTGAATGCAGTTATTTACTTGATATTATACTAAATACAAAAAATTCCTTTATTTGCTAATATATGAATTTATTTCCTTAATATTTCACTGCATTAAACTATATTCTTAATGTTAAACAAACGGAACTGGCTTCATAATATTGTGCTATTATGTCCGTGTGAGCAATAAATTAACAATGCAAGGATTTATTTCTATTAGTTTACTGGTGAAGTTTTACCTTCAGCAAACACTTTCAATCGAGAAGCAGAGGATACGGATTGCTCCTGACGGCACTTCTGTTTGATGCGCCGTAGCTGGGCAGGTCCTTTGATACGAGTCCTTCGATCAGATCGGGATTTGCAAACTGACTTTGTAGAAGCTCTTTATGATTGTGTGCTTGAATTGTACAGCTTTTATTTACTCGTAAATTCAAGGTTGATTTT